GTTGGGGGTACCTAATGGAGGCAACCTTTGAACTAACATTAGGTTTCGTTAGGTAAAGGAAGCTCTCCTGGAGGAATAGATAGTATGCACCAAAGGCAAGTTCCTGTGAGAAAGCAAACCTTTGGTATTCACACAATTAATGTTTTCAATTTTGACTTTTCTAAAATAAAGCAAAGGTGCAGGATGTGCACTTATTTGTTATTTTCTCAAGGAGCAGTTTGAATTGAGGGAATGGGTCACCAGCTAGTGCTGCTGAAAATCTTCATCCCTGCCCTGAGTTTGATTCTTATTTAATGCATAGTTTTGACTTTTGAGGTAGAGGAAGAGATTTCACTGGGGGTCTAGCTGACCCAGGTTGGGCTTGGCTCCAAGCTGTGGATTGGGACCACCTTTCTTTCCTCCTCCTTGGATCAGTGGACACGCAAAGCAAAGGTTGGAGCAGTGAGGGCATGCGCATTTGCAGGAACACATTTTAAGTCTCTTCTCATGTCAAAGCAATCATTTGTTCAAGCCCAAAGTCAAGGGGAAAAGAACCCCAGGGAGCCACTATGAGACCATGGCAAGAGTGGGGATACATAATAAATACGACAGGGGAATGGAGAATTGGACCATGACTTCAGCCTACCACATATGCTACAGTGGGATTTGGGGATTTAATGATACCTACTGAAGATCTCTCATGTATCAAGAGGTCTACTTTTGAGATGATATTCTGTATAGTATCAAAACTATTGATATTCCAAAGCAGGGTAGTCTTTGGCCCTTCTGAAAAACTGTAAAGGAAAATTAACTTTCTAATATCCTGTTCTTGATTTTTTGTTATTACTGTTATTAGATGCTGTCAAGTTGACTTCGACTCATGTTGACCTTATGCACAATAGAACAAAATGTTGTCCACTCCCACATCATCCTCACAATCACCAGCATGGTGCAGTCCATCTTTGTAGCTGCTGTGCCAGTCCATCTCACTGAGGGTCTGCCAAGCCCTCTCACCAATTGATGATATACTTCTCTAACCATTGATCCTTCCTGATGACTGATGACATGTCCACAGCAAGTGAGTTAGGCATTGCTCTGTTGCGATCCATAAGGTTTCATTGGCTAATTTTTCAAAGGTGATCACCAGGCCTTCCTTCCTAGTCTCTCTTAGTCTGGAAGCTCCTCTGAAACCTGTCCATGGGTGACTCTGTTGGTATTTTGAAATACTGAGGGCAGGAGCTCTGGTAGCATAGTGGCTAAAGCACTTGACTGCTAACCAGAAGGCTGGCGGTTCAAACCCACCAGCCACTCCTCGGAAGGAAGGT